GCAAAGGCAACCGGCGTAAGGCGGGGCGGTTACGGGACATGCAGGACCCTAACACAGCCCGCACCGCAGCAGGAACCGCCTGGAGGCACTCAGTCGCAGGGCAAGAAAGCCAGCGACGCAGGGAAGCAACCAGGACGGCCTCCCGGGAAGAGATGGCGAGTAGCTGGCCCGGTGTAGGGGACAAAATACCCGGTGCTGCACTAATGGGGTGATGGGGACACCCAATACGGTGGGTTAATGCAGTCGTGGTGGGGTTTGGCACGCCATGCAGCCGCGCCGTTTACCTGTCAACCTGGCAAACAATGACCCTCGCCTTGTGGATGGGCGCCAGGACTGGGCTGGGAGGGCTAGGGCAGAGAGACGGACAACACACACATGCAGAGGACAAGATCAAGAGAAGCCTCTGGACAAAGGAAAGGGCAGCTGCGGGTACCTCTGCCCCTCGTGGTGCCCGTGGACAGGCGCCGGTGACCCCACGACGCCAAACCAAACCGTGACAGTCAGCGTCCGGCTGCTGGCAGAGCCTGGCAGCGACAGGAGGGCAGCCCGAAATCAGGGCGGGGGGGTTTTCAGCCTCTAGGTCAGGCTCAGACCCTCCACCCACTGCCAGACACACTCCAGGTGCAGGTCCCTGAGGATAAGTGCCAGGTGAAGCGCTGGCCATGCAGCCCCCCCCAGCACAGCTCAGGGGGCACTGGCGGGGGCTCAGAGCCTCCAGCATCTCCTATTCCCAACAGGAGGTCTAAAACAGGTCAGAACAGCTCTGCCCATGCTGGCACCCAGGTGCTTGGGGGGTGCTTACCGGATACAGGAGAGGGGCTGAGGGCCATCACCCCGTAATAGGAGAAAGCTCCTGCTTCAAACTTCATGCATTCCTTGCCGGCCTCCACCTCCACCTTGCCCTGCAAGGGAGAAACAGCGTTGGACTCCATAAGCCACATCCTGCGGTGCTGGGCTGGATTAGACCCCTCCCAACGCAGCCCTGCTGGAGTGACACATCACCCAAGGGACCCCATGCCCATGGCTGGCAATGCCACCCTGTGCCCGGGTACCTGGAGGATGAGGATGAAGTAGTCGGCTGCCTTGTTCTTGCAGTAGAGGAAGTGACGTGGGGATTTCTTGTTCTCCTCGTCAAACTTCAGCTCCTGGATGACATCAGAGTATTTGAGGAGCCGCAGCAGGATCTTCTCCGAGATGAAGTTGGGGGTGAATCTGAGAGCGAGAAGGAAAAGGGGGGTCAGAGCCGCAGTCCTTGTCCCTCTCCCGTCCCTCCAAACGAAGGTGCGTGTCCCTTGGGGCGGTGCCTGCATCTGGCTGGGCCCCATTGACACGAGTCTGTCCCCAACACCAGCCCCAGGTCCCCAGCAAGGCCAGCCCCAGCGTCGGAGACACACGTGCCAGCCGGGGAACAGGGACCGTCCTGGAGGGACAGGGACCTGCCAAGCGCCAGAGGCAGGACTGGCATCCCTGGGCCCTGTCCCTTCTCATTTTGGGGGGGGCAGAGGGGAGGAGAGCAGGACAAGACACAAGTGTCCCCCGTAATTTCTGAACAAGATGGTTGGAGTGACTCTTCCTCAGCGGGGCGGGGACAGAAATGGAACCCAGGCAGCTGCCAGGGACATGGCAGCACAACCCACGCACACGAGACCGG